GGCCCCCTCTCAGCTCCCGAGCACTGCCCTCAGCCCGGCCCGGCTCCCCTAGCGCATGCTGCCCTCCGCGCAGGCAGCCATGCGGCCCGTCGGGGTGCTGCTCGCCTTCTGCTGCCTGGTCCCGTGCACTACCGGGGGCCCTTCGCGAGGTAAGAGCAGGGTCTCCCCTGGGCCGCTTCATGCCGGGGCTCCGGGACTCCGGAGCTCTGGCCGCTCCCCGAGGCGAGGTCCCCTGATTGCCCGTCGGCGGCGGGCGCGCCCTGAGCTTCCCGCCCGGGTCCCCAAGGCACACTGCTGGCTTGGCAGCCTCGGGGACCGCGCGGCGGCAGGGGCAGGCGGCTCCCATCCCGGCTGCAGCGGCCTTTGCGGGGTTCGGGGGTAGGGGGTCTGGGGCCTGCCTGGGGGGGCGAGAGAAGCGCCCTCTGTCGTCCGCCCCCTCCCTGTCCAGGGACTGAGAACTGTGGGCCCAAGGGAGGCTCCCCTGTGGCCCCTGCACGGGGACCAAGCTCCGGGATGCCCCGTGGTGGTTAAGCAGTTTCCATGTGATGCCTGCCCTTCCTGCCTGCCGCCTGCTGCCCTGTGACTTGGCCCCCAGGAGCCTAAAGATCAGACTCTTCCTGCCAGGCCAGCACTGGGGGAGAAGGGGAGGGAGGGTGCCGCTGCTGTCCAGAAACTAAGGCACAAGGATATTGGGTTACTTGCCCGTTACACAGCCAGTGAGCACCTGTCCCCGCCAGAGCACAGAGGAGCAGACCATGCCCTCCCATCACTGGACTCACAGGCCATGGCTGCTGGGGAAGACTTAGAGGTGGGCCACTGCAAGCTTGGCTGGAGGCAGGGGAGGGGGCAGAGTGTGACATGGCAACCCCGTGGAGCTTCCCAGGAGAAATAACAGGTTGAGAAAGAAGGACTTTTGGGTTGCAACGGAACATAAAAGGGCTGAAGACACTGATGTGGCGATTTCCTAAGTCCTGAAGGGCTTAGGGAGGGAAGATGCCATGGGGCTCTGCATTTAGGTCAGTGCAGTTTAGTGTCTGGGCATGGGAAGGTCATGTGCCCAGAGGGCACCAGTATCAGGGGCCCTGCTGCCCCCCACTCCCTCCCAGGAAGGCACTGGAATCTGTTCTCAGGGGAGGGAAGGAAAAGGCTGTGGGAGCCATGGAGGCAGAGTCGGGGCTGGGCTGAGTTCCCGTCTCTGTCCAACCACCAGGGGTAGGGGGTCTGGGGCCTGCCTGGGGGGTGAGAGAAGCGCCCCTCCTCCTTTAACCCCTCAGCTGGTGGAGGGATCCCCTGCCCTCACTTCTTGCCCCTGGACGGTCTCGGGTGGGGCTGCACATGGGGACCACAGGGACAGGACACCCTTCCTCCTCTCTCCCCCAACCCTCATTCTTAGCTCTCATGCTGAGGACACCCTTTCCCGGCCTCCTCTTGTCGGGATACCGCTGTCTTCCTGTGCCCCCCACTTAGTACCAATCCCAGGGGGACAAGTCAGGGGAAGAAGCTGCATGTTCAGAACAGAGACGCACACTCCTCAAAACCTTAGTGAAGGGTCCCCTGGAAAGATGTGGAGCCTGCCGTCATAACTACCCTGGGATTTAATTACTGACACTCACTGTCAACTGTTTTGCCAAGTTCCTTCCGCTTGCCTCCATTTCCTCATGGAACAGAGCAGGGACAGGAACAGGACTGCATGGGGAGTTCAGAGACAGGTGGCACTGGACGACCGTTCATGTCCTCACGGGCCACGCCCACATGAGAGCCACGCGCCCCTCCCCTGTCGGACCTGGTCTCTGCCCCTGCGTGCCAGCCGGCAAGTCCAGAGCCCACACTTACATGCAGAGAGTGGGGTACCACAGACTCCCCAAACCTACTAGCTGTGGAACCAGCAGCCTCCCTAAGCCTGGGCTCATCAGCCAGGAGATGCGTAAAGAACTTGAGCACCCTTGGGCCTTGAAGAGGCCTGACTGCGGCGGCCCATGGAAAGCATTCTCACTGGGCCCGGGGTGCTTGGCAGCCACCTGCCCACATACCTGCTCCGAGTCTCTGCCACGCCGGTAGCCTTCCCAGCCCACTCCACCGCCCCTCCGAAGCAATCTCTTCTGGTGCTTCCTTCATTTGACAGATGAGGGCCCGAGCAAGGGCCTCAGAAAGAGGGGCTTGGAGGCGCCTCTGTCTGGCGGTTGAACAGAGACGGGAACTCAGCCCAGCCCCGACTCTGCCTCCATGGCTCCCACAGCCTTTTCCTTCCCTCCCCTGAGAACAGATTCCAGTGCCTTCCTGGGAGGGAGTGGGGGCAGCAGGGCCCCTGATGCTGGTGCCCTCTGGGCACATGACTTCCCCATGCCCAGACACTAAACTGCACTGACCTAAATGCGGAGCCCCATGGCATCTTCCCTCCCTACGCCTTCCAGGACTTAGGAAATTGCCACATCAGTGTCTTCAGCCCTTTTATGTTCCGTTGCAACCCAAAAGTCCTTTTTTCTCAACCTGTTATCTCTCCTGGGAAGCTCCACGGGGTTGCCATGTCACACTCTGCCCCCCTCCCCTGCCCCCAGCCAAGCTTGCAGTGGCCCATCTTCTCATTACAGGGCTTTACGATTAGTTGAACCTGGTTTAAATCCACCCTGCACTCCTCTGGGGCCTCAGTCTCTCCCCTGTAGAATGGGGACCCACACGCTGCCCCCAGAGTGGTAACAAGAAAGCAACAGCTCTAACTCTCTTGCTCCCCAGACTTTGGCTGCACAGCACACACCCCAGAACCCCCATCCCTGAGGACAGCCCAGGCCCCCTTTAGTGGGGGAGGGACTGACCCCCTGGCCGGGGCCCCAGGCCACCCAGCCTGCACTGTCACCATCTGCTCAGCACCCACCTGGTGGCTTCCGTTCTTCCCTGAAGGAGAGCTCTTTGGAATGTTTATTCTCCATGAGAAGCCTTAGAATTCTCTTAAAGAATCCTAAAAATAGATTTGACTTTCAACCTTTTTTTTAATTAAAAATGGAGCTTTTATTGTTTGTTTAGACAACTGCATTGATGAAGCTTTACTGACTTGAAGCCTACATTTTAGGAAAACATGTAGTTAGATAAAAATAAACCAACTTCAGTATTTTTCCTAAACTTTTTGTAACATTACTGAAATTGCTTAGGAACTGACATCATGTGTTCCAAAAGGACAAGGCATCTGAGGTTCAGCCTCACCTACTTTCACTTCCTTTTTTTTTTTTTTTTTCAGAGAAAGAGAGCGGGGTGGGGGGGTGGTGGAGGTGAGGGAGAGGAAGAGAATCTCAAGCAGAATCCCCCCTCAGCGCAGAGCCCAACTCGGCTCGATCTCATGACCCTGAGATCATGGCCTGAGCTGAAACTAAGAGTCAGATGTTTAACCAACTAAGCCACGCAGACGCCCCTCTTTCACTTCATTTTTCATTCTGTTCAATTCAAGCTAAATTGCATTTAATACATTTTATTTAAAAAACCATTAACACTGGTTACTAAGAGTGATTTCTAATTTGAGGTACTAAGAGTGATAACTAACTTTTTTTGTTATACTTCTCTGTATTTTTCAAATTTCCTACCCAAAATAGGTAGGCTTATAACCGGAAAAAGCATTAAATGTAATTTATGCAAAGCAAAGAATAGAAGCCATTATCGATCCACAGTGGGGAAGGGGGGACCCTCTCCTCTCTGACGGCAGGAGTACATTGAGCTTCGGTGCCTTCCTCTTCCTCTGCCGGCTAGACTACAGTGAGGAGCAGAAATCAAGCTTGCAGTTGTTTGCCCCACTGGTTTTTGGTTTAAACTACAAAGCACCCTTGACTTCGTGTGGCACACAGATGCTGGGGGGGGCGGCCCTCGGCCCGGCCCCGCCCCCTCGTGTTAGGGTGTCTGTGTGCAGAGCCCACGAGGCCCCCCAGCACCACCACCTGAGTCACAGCCACGTGGGCAGCTTGGGGAAATGCGGGTTCCAGGGCCGACCCAGCCCCACCAGCCCAGCTGCTGGCACTCCAAGAATGCAAGCGGCTTTCCTTATTTCCATCTTTGGAGACTTTAAGCAAAGACCGTCCTAGGAGGGCTGGATTCTTACAAAGGAGAATCCCAGTGCTGGTCGGGGACAGAGCTCGGAGGGAAACTCGGACCGGCAGATGGCCATAATCCTGTGCTGGGAAGGGTCCCAGCGGTATGCTGCTTTCATCGGAGCCAGGGAGCCAGGTCCGTGGGGCTGCTAAAGCTTAGGGGGCTTAGTCTTGACGCTTCAGCGTTGCGCCCAAGGAACCAGCTGGGGGAGACCCATTTGCCAGGTGGGGCCCTGCTTGGTCAGGCAGTGCTGGCCCTCCCCAGACTGCAAGATGCTGCCCCCGCCCCGCCCCAGGGTCACAGAACGCACAGAGACTCACGCCTTCTCTGTCCACTCTCAGGGCTCCTTCCGCTGCACCACACACAGGGGAGGGGAGACCACCCAGCCAGATGCCCCCCAACCCCGCCCTAGGCCTCGCATTCGGCAGGGGTCTCACATACACAAGAGGGCATAGCAGACGCGCAGCACCCAAGGCACCAACCTGCCAGGCAGTTCCCAGCCTAGCCAGCCCACTGGCCCTATCTAACCCGACCCCCCGTACAAGGTAGTGGGTATTTCCCTCAGCCCCCTTCTGTCAGTCTCCATGCATGGGGGACTCCTTGTCCCCAGTGGGACATCCCAGTGCAGCTTCTATTAAAGCTCCCATGCTCTGTTGAATTCATGCTGCCAGCTTCCTCCCCTAAAGTTGTGATTTCTTCACGGGGGAACCAGATGGTATCTTGCCCCCCATAAAGCCTGCGTGCCTTGTCGCCGTTATCTTCTACCACCCAAATATACTTGGGTGTCTCGGGTCTGAGCTGGAGTTTGTCGCTCAGGAGCGGACGGGCTGGGGTGGGGTGGGCACAGGTCAGCACCCATCTTTCCACCTTTCACGTGCTCAGCCCGGAAGCTTGGTTACCACTGCCGCTACCCACACACCCCGAGTCTCCACTTCCTGCTGCCTCGGCACCTCTGCCTCATGCCAAACTCAGTCTCCCCAGACTGAACAGAGATGCCTGCGCCACAGGTGCTCCCCGAGGTCATGGCAGAGGGAAGCGAGTGAAGTCTCAGGGCAGTGCAGTCCCCTGGGGTCCTCTGCAAGGACACGGTGTCCCTATCGGCACCCACCGCCACGACCACGTGGGGCTACTGAGCACCTGAAACGGGGCCATGCCACTGAGGAGCTGAACTTCACACTCTGTTTAATTTAGTTAATGAACTAAAACAGCTCAGCTCTGAATCGTCTCTAGCAGGCTAACATTTCAGGAAAATCTGGGAGAACGTCTTCCTAAAGAGAAGCAGTTTAAAATCTAAAAACCCTCTTCCCCTTCTCCCTCCCAGTTTAGATTTTTCCCCCAAAACTTTTTATTTTTTTAAGACTTTATTTATTTGAGAGAGAGAGACAGAGCACAAGCAGGGGAGGGGCAGAGGGAGCGAGAGAAGCAGACTCCCCACTGAGTGGGGAGCCCAACGCGGGACTCAGTCCCAGGACCCTGAGATCATGACCTGAGCTGAAGTCAGACACGTAACTGAGCCACCCAGGCGCCCCAACTTTTTATTTTTAGACATCAGTTGTCCACTGTAGAAATGGACAGAAACCTAAATTCATCATGACCCACCAACCAGAAAAGGCCACCATTCACTTGTTGCCATACGGAGCCTGTGGGGCTTCTTATGTTCCTTTTTTCTTTATAATAAAATCCAAAGTTTGTGACCCAAATGAGCACACAGCTGTGCCGGGCCCGGCCTTGCCTCTCAGCCCTTCTCCACATGCCCTCCTTGCTTCAGCCACGCTGGGGCCCTGAGCCGTCAGACACTCTGCCCTCCGGCCCCCTCACTTGCTCTCGGCCCCTCCATCTAGATTTGTGCAGATGGCACAGCCTGGTGCTGCATCTGCTGTGGACAGACCCCCGCACAGCTCCTGCCTTGCTTCACCTGCTGCTCTGATGTTTGTCTTGCCTGTTTATTGACGGGACGTGGGCTGCAGTGAACATAAGCTTCTGTACCCCCAGAGCCTGCAGGATGAGGAGGGCTCCAGAGGGGCTATTGAGCTAGCCAGACGAAGGAATGAAGTCCGGTCCTCCTTCAGCGAGGGTCCTTGGGGTGTGGCCAGGCTCTGCTTCTGTGGCGCCTGGGAGCAGAGGACGTGGAGAGGAGAGGAGCAGCATGGGGGTCCCTGGTTCTGTCAGACACTGGGGGACCCAAGTGCCGGGGGAGAAGCCCCTCCTGTTGCTTACCCCATCTTTAATCCAAATATGGGCCTCCTCGGAATAGGAAGAGCATGGGAGGATGAAAGAAAGCCAGTCGTCCCTGCCTCCGCCACATGCCAGCTCTGCGGGCCTGACCCCTGTCCTCGGACTTGTACCCAGAAGGGCATGGCAGGAGGCAGCACATGAGGGGCATCAGGTGCAGACGGGCCAACCCAGGGCCTGGAAGCTGGGTGGATTCTGACAAGAATCACTGAGGGAGAGGACAGCAGCTGCATCCGAGCAAGTGAGAAGGCAGGACGTGCCTTTGGGCACTTCTCCGTGGTCCACATATTGGGGACACACTGAGGGGCAGGGTCCAGATGGCGGTGGCTTCCAAGGCCAACTGAGGCACCTTCTTCTAACCTCTGGGGCTGCATCCTATCCAGAGGCTCCGCCCCCGGAAGACGCGATCGGGTTTTCTTTAACACATGCTAGAAACCACTCTGGGTTCCGAGAAAGCCTGTGCGGGCAGGCGCCGCGGGCCGGGACTACCTTCCATTCCTCACGGTACCACCCACCGCGCCTGGTCCTCAGCTCTGAGGAGGGAGCAACCGTGAGAAGCACAACAAATGCTCTGTGGGGTGTGGGGTGGCTGGCTGAGGGGGTAGGTAGACGGCCAGGGGCCACACTGGGCGCAGACAGCAGAACCGAGGTGTGAGGTGCAACACTGGGCCCAAGGACCCTGCTCACAGCAATGTTCTTGTCCGGTTCTGTGCTTCTCTGTTTCAGATTTTTGTTCCCAGATCCTTAACCCAGATGTGAAGCCAGGATTTCCCAAAACAATAAACCCCCACGACCCAGGAGTCCTCCAAGCAGCCAGACACAGCGTTGAAAGGTTCAACAACTGTACAAATGACATCTTCTTGTTCAAGGAGTCCCACATCAGCAAAGCCCTGGTCCAGGTGAGGGTTGGGGACACCCCTACGCGGCCAGGCTGCAGTGGCTTCTGTCTTACCAGGGGCTGGCCGGCTAGTGCCCGTCCATGTAGAGTGTGGCCCCCGGCCGGGAGGCTGACAGCAGCGCCACAGGCAGCCCACGAGCAGCCACGGCCAGAGGCACCAGGGCACAGCAAGAAGGCCCTGCGCCACCTCCCGTGAAGGCAAGCTCCTCCCGGGGGGCCCACAGCACATCTGCAGCGGAACCCAGGAGGGCAGGGGTGGAACAGGCCACTGCAGCCGAGCATGAAGGCCGTAGCCGGGAGAAGCAGAAGGCCGGCCTGCAGGAACCACTAGACCGCCCGTCAGAGCCCCTGCCCTGCCTCGCCCCACCCCGCCCCTCGCCCGCACCGCAGCCCCAAGGGACCTCTTGCCGTTCTCCATCTGGGCCATGTCACTCGGAGAGCTTTGCCCAAACCACTGCCCCTTCCCCACACACAAACCCCAGGGAAAGATGGTGAGGTGGTCCCACTCGGACACTAACAGTTTTTACGCATACTGGTAATGGTTACCCCTGTGTCATAGGATTGTTGGAAATTCTTATAATCCTTATTCTTTTCGAAAATTGCGAACTTTTTTAAGAGCAGGATATTTTTATGATTAGAAAGCATGTGGCAGAAAGGCAAGCTAGTGTGGGGTGGGCTTTAAAAGCCTACTTCCCACGGAAATAGCCCAAGTGTCATCTCTCCGGGGACTCCACCCCAGGGGCCGTGGGGTCTTCCCAAGCCAGGCTTTCGCCTCCTGCGGAACACGGCAAGTTCCTGGTGCTCCTGCCAGTGCTCGAGGGCCTGTGGGAGGGGACAGATGACACTGGGGATGACTTTACTTCATGTGGTACTTGGCGGGGCTGAGGCTTCATTGAGAGACCACAAGTAAGGAGGAACCGGTTGCTGCCGCATTCGTGCGGAAAAGGGTCTATTTGGAAACTGGGGGGAAAAGCAACCACTGTTGGCGTGCAGGGCGGGTCGGCACAGCCCGCAGGTGGGTGTTGGGCATGGAGGTGAGGCGCAGAGTTCTGGGCAGTAAGGAAATGTCCTCCGACAGACCCAGAGCCCCAGTCTCACCTGGGGACCGAGAACTGGTACCATGAGCAGGAATGACATGAGTGGGTAAGAAAGGGAGAGGCCTGGGTGCAAGCGGCAGCTTCCCCCGCCCCCCCCCACACACACACACCGGAGTTCTCTGATGGGTCCCAGACACTCAGCCCCTTTCCGGGAGCGAATCTGGACATCCTTCCCCCCTGGTCTCCATGCCGCCTCCTGCTGGTGAAGGAGCAGCCACCCTTCTGCCCTGGACCGAGTAACACCGACCCAGCCCTTCTTCCCCGTAGATCGTGAAGGGCCTGAAGTACATGCTGCACATGAAGATTGGCAGAACTTCTTGCAAGAAGACCCAGCACCGTATTCTAGACAACTGTGACTTCCAGACCAACCATACCTTAAAAAGGGTAAAAACAAAGGGGTCTCACCTCCTCACACCTACTCACTGCCGTCCCAGCCCTCGCGCACTCCCCAGGGCTTTGGGAACCATCCCCTTCATCACCTCTCTGCCTGCAAGTTTCCAACTCTCACTCCCAGCATCCGTGCAGTACCCACAGACCTGGGAGAACACAGAGGGAGGACTCGCAAGAGAGCACCTCAAACCACCCCCCTGAGGGGCACAGCTCCAGGAAATAAACACCCTGGGCTTGGGGCAGGGGAGGTTAGAACAAAAGGAGCTTTCAAACAGTTCAAAAATCATATACACACATACACATGCAGGAGAGAGCAAATGTGACATCTAATTAATTTGCAAAAAAAAATGAAAATATTTTTTTCTTGAATCTCTCAACTTCTCTGTAGATGTGAAATTTTTCAAAATAAAAACTTGGGGCAGGGGAGAAACGTCCAAAGGAAGATGCGCACGCACTGCCCACCGCTGCAGGGAACTTAACCCCTGCAGAGCGTGTCAGGAGCGCAGCCTCTGCGATGGGGGAGGGAGGGGGTCTCAGTGTGCCCTTCTTTGTTTCAGACTTTCAGTTGCTACACGGAAGTTTGGGTCATCCCCTGGCTCCAGAGGTTCAAGGTGCCCGTTCTCCGCTGTCGCTGACTTCCGCCTCTCAGCAACACTGCACTCCTGCTCTTTACTGCATGCGGTCACAGCCCCGCCCTGGCTGTCACAGGCCCTGGGACCTTCCGACGCAGTGGCTCACCAGTGAGCCGAAACGGAAGTGCCCGTGGGCTCATCACAGAGTAGCCAGGGTGGAAGAATGATACTGCCCGTGGTTAGAGTATGTATTTCGCATTTTCTTCTAACCTAACTAATTTTACCGATGCTCTGATGGTAATTATTCAGGTTCTGGACCTCTGAGCGAGCCCCCTCCGTCCCCTCCCACCTGATTACCTGGTGGTCCCACATCCAGCAGTGAAAGCCCAGAGATCCGTCCCTTTGGCCAAATAATGGTTACAGCCCTGGGCAGGGGGACAAGTCCGCTACTGTGCATCTTGACCTTTTGTGCATGAATAAAACTATGAATAAATATGAATAAAGAACTGACCATCTCAAAGCAACACCTGTTGCTTTACCTGTTAAAGGGACAGTCAGGAAGGTGAGGTGAATGTTGTGAGAGGTCCCTCTCACTGAGTGGTCTGATGAGTCTAGTGACTTCCATAAAGCCCCTTGGAGGCTTCTCTGGCCTTTCACTGCCAGCTAAACTATACTGAAGACCAGAGGAGCTGGAAACAGGCCAGCCTGTGTCCACATCATGAACTGGCAGGGCAGACAGCACCCCACTTTGGAGGGCGCTCACCCTCCAGCTGGGCTTTCTTCTGACCAGGAGTCATACATCCAAGTTCTTGGTGGACTTGATAATTCATAGGAAACAAAATCTGCATTAAAAACGTATGACAATTTAGTATGCAGTTGTAAACTTGATCACTATGTACAACCAAAATGAATTACCCTTTGGCTTCCTTCAGTGAGGAGAGATCTTTAATTTCCAAATCCTCATTCATTTTTGCTGGCTCGCCTCCTTCTGGTCATTTAATTCAGGGACAGTGGTGGCAACTATGCCACAAGATAATTTATTTGATGATTCTAAAGGCCACGTTTTCATCAAGTGTGATTCTGAAGGCCACCCTTTTCGTCAAGCCTTGCAGTGCTTGGCCACGGACATGCCCAGGAGCTTACAGACAGAGATGGGCATCACTCAGAGAAGACAGGCCCCCAGCCGCCCTGCTCCAGTAGGCCTGGCTTGGAATGCAGAGCCTCTCGCTTTGGATTTCCTCCTCTCCAGGCCTCTTCAAACTATAGATTAGTAAAAAATACACTGTTGCCTTTAAAAAAAATATGGACTTGGGGCACCTGGGTGGCTCAGTCATTTTAGCCTCTGACTCTTGATTTCAGCTCAGGTCATGATCTCAGGGTCGGGAGATGGAGCCCCAGGTAGGACTCCAAGCTCAGCAGGGAGTCTGCTTGAGATTCGATCTCTCCCTCTCCCTCTGCCCCTCCTGCCCTGCTCTCTTTCTAAAATAAATAAATCTAAAAAATATGGACTTGATAATTCACAGGAAACAAAATCTGCATTAAATACGTATGACAATTTGGTACGCAGTTGTAAACTTGATCACTGTGTACAACCAAAATGAATTACCCTTTGGTTTCCTTCAGTGAGGGGAGAGCTTTAATTTCTAAATCCTCACTCATTTTTGCTGGCTCGCCTCCTGGTCATTTAATTCAGGGACAGTGATGGCAACTATGCCACAAGACAATTTATTTGATGATTCTGAAGGCCACCCTTTCATCAAGATAAATGAGTCCACCCAGCGTTGTTGACCCCATACATAAACAAGGTGGCAGTAACACCAGGAGTCAGAGCTTCAGACTCAGATGGGCCTCGGGACACAGCTGAACGGGCAGGATGTTGCAGCAAATAAAGGTAGGAACCCATGCAAACTCCCAGTTGGTCCTCATGAACATTTAAATACGGCCCAGAGCACATGAAGGCCAGGCCTCTCCTGAAAATTATTACTTAGGCTTCCAGGCCTGTGGGCCCACCTGGCGTCACCTGGCCTCACGGTCAGAAATGAGAATGCAGGAAGAACAAATATTGTGAAGATGTCAATGCTACCTAGAGCAATCTACACATTCAATGCAATCCCCATCAAAATACCATCCACTTTTTTCAAAGA